AAATGTCAATAAAAATACCTGCGTATCCACTGACTTAAGCATGCTATGCTAGGTCAGGTTAATTGCAATCAAGAACTCATAGCCAATTGGCATATGCAAACCCCATCCTAGCCAGCATATTTCTCCGAATACACCGATAAGCAAGTACTTAGTTATAGTCAGCAGTGCTCGAAATAAGCAATGGTCCGATGGTCCGGGGCCATCAAATAATCAGGAGGATCATCAGATTTTCAAAATCAATGGTCCGACAGACCATTGAATATTTTGGTCCCATTTTATGGTAAATTTCTTGCATGCCGCATTACTTTTAGAGGACAATTTGAAATTTAGGAGGACCATCTAAAATTTAGGAGGACCATCTAAATTTCAAACTAGATTTTTCCCCTTATTTCTACCCTTGATAGTTACAACATAGCTCCTGCCCTCCCTCCCACCACCCAGCACACGGCTAGCAGCATATGTATGAGTAATTGTGCAGAAGAAACAAGGACACGCACATACACACATACACGATGTGGCTGGCTGCCAACGCTTGACAAAAACTATTCCTGTGATAGTTTTAGAATTTCCTTTTTTTCTAAAGGAATTTCGACTAAAACTTAATGAAACACAATGCTCACGCAAGAGTGCACATGCACTGGCAATATGAGAATGACAGTTTGTAGGAAGGTGCACAACTATGTTTTTTACATGCTGGAAAATGTATCTGAGAGATAGCTGCATTCCTTCCTTTACTTAGGGTTTCACTCCCTCTTCAATTTCCCCAACTCTCTCTCTCTCTCTCTCTCTCTCTCTCTTCCTCTTCCTCTTCCTCTATCTCTCCCTCTCGCCCTTTTCACCTTATCTCTCCTTCTCGTCCTCGCCCTCTTTTCGTTGCCCTTGCCCACTCTTTTACTTTCTCGCTCTCCATCTCTTTCTCATACTTGTAAACATATTACCAGGAGTGGATAATAGAGAATCTCTATTGTCTACTCCTGATATCACAATACCTGCTATCTAGAATCGTGACCTGCGTATTGCGATACGTGGGTCATATACCTTTTACTAAATTAGACATATTCATGATTGATCAGTGGCTTGATTTTCAGCATTGGAACAGTAACTATATTGAGATATGGTGTCATGACCATGTAGCATAATTATATGATTGATTAAATATTGCTTGCTAACATAGTTACATAGTGCCCTGAATTCAAAAGGGTGGGGGTGGGTTAGTGATATTTATCCGACTCCATTTACTCCTTTGCCACCATTCTATGTAGATGTCATCCTAACTGTTATGCATGCCTTACACTTATCTGCCTCGTGGGAAATCTAACTATAACTATAGATTAGGACACATAAACAATAATGAGCATCAACCAATTGATTTAAACCAACAGAAATTCCAGGGAAGTGCAAACGTAAGAACCTGGAATGTTAAGCACATAGAAGTTATGAATGGGGTAGCTCTAGTAAAGTTCTATAGCCCGCGTGCAGTTGCCGCAGGGCTATAGGATCTTCTATTACGGATGCTCGGGACCAACTTAGTAACGGTTACTTGCAGCTATAAAACGTCTGTGATAGGCAATTAATGCCTCTTATCCGAAGTGAATATGTCTTAAGTTATATCCGCAACTAAAATTTAACCTCTAACTATCGTTGAAATGGTCTGCTTGTGGTATTTCTTGTGAACGAACATTTGATTTGCGAACTTCAAACGGCCATTTTTGGCAGCGATGCAGCAGCACCAGTCAGCGGGTTGGTTCCTAGCATTCGTAATAGAATGTCCTATAGCCCTGCGGCAACTGTACACGGGCTATAGTACTAGAGCTATGAATGGGGTAGCAACACTGCCAGCTTAGTCAATCAAAGCAGATACAATCACTTTGGCTATTTTGGGCAGACGCTGCATATTGTATTTGTATAGAATACTGATATCATTTATTAATGCAGGTATGCGGAACCTGCCCATTGGCAAGTTCTCCACCTAATTAAAATAGTTGTATATGGTGATACACTACTTTTTAGTCCAGTCATCTGGCTAATCTATCAGCATCATCTGATGGAAAGATTAAATGTATTTCAGTGCAGTGGATCAATTTAACAAAAACAAACTACTTGTGAAGCTTGGCAGATCTTGTAGAGCTGGCATAAACACAGATACAATAATGTAACCCAACAAGAGTAGGGTTACAATGCGAGCCTATTCTTTTCTTTGGAGGAGCCCCTGAGTGATTCACTCAGGGCGGTTTTATGGTGCGTTTTTAAAGACTACAACTTCAAAACTGGGTTTATTCTAAACACGAACCTTTCTCCGCTATTCTGGGACTTACTATGTATCACGATACTCTGTATTAAAGGCTCACAATGCGCATCCAAACGCTAATTTCTCCAGTACTAGACTAGCAAATACTTCGTGTCATGCATAATCATACTACCTTATGGCAAAATAAACTCTAGTTCCTCCCATTTCACTGCGCGTTGTCTTATAAAAGGTATTTTGAAATACTGCCAATGTTGTTGAAATTCTCCGATGTTGTTGACAGTTTTTCCCAATCCCCAAGCAAACCGTGCAGCGGTGCTGCGGTACAGCGGTTGGGCGCAGCGAGAGATAAAAACATGTCGACGTCACGTCGACCACTTCGAGCTATTTTGTTTGCAAACAGTCGGCGTTTGCGCACAGAGATGCAGTTTTCTCAACCTGCTCTTTCTCTGTGGGTTTTAAAGGAAGCAGTAGCCTCTAGGTGCTAAGGTTATTTTCCAGCTAAATTTAGGTTATCATTGCGGCTACAATAAAAAGTTTTCATTGTTTCAATCACTATTCAGAAATATTTTTAAAAAATGTTTTAAAACTAACGACTACAGTTTGATTTACAGGACGACGGTTGGCGCCACTAGAGCGCACAGATATGAGAAGTATGCGGCAAACAAACATTTTCCTGTGGCCAAGGGGCTAAGCAGACCGAGGGTATTTCTTATTTCTTCACTTTAAAAGAAAAGGATTGTAATAATCTTATGAAGCGACATATAGTTTCAGTTATAATATGGATAAATTGCCCTAAAATGAATATCGTTTCCGGTTAACTAGCATTTAGGTATATAATATAATTGGCAGCTTTTGTGATTAGCCTCGGTCATTTACCTGCACACACAAAAACTGCAAATACGCAACTTTTTCAGGGTGGCGCACGGTCCGGGGTGTCCATGGCGCCGTTCAAATTTGTAGCGTTGATGTGTAAATAATTAAGTTAAGTATCTGGTGACATATAACATGGTGGGTATAGACGATATTGTTTACTAGTAAGTAAAGCAGTTGTATGCAGTAAAATCCTAGGGCTACTGTCCCCTTTAAGCAAACGCGCAGGTGAAATGGGAGCAACTAGAGTTTTTTATTTTGTCATAAGGTAGTGTGATTATGCAGTGACACGAAGTATTTGCTAATCTAGTACTTGAGAAATTAGCGTTTGGATGCGCATTGTGAGGCCTTTAAACTATTTATAACCTTGTTAAACAAAATTTCGAAGTGACGAGCGGGCGATATTTTCGAGCTGCGCATTTTCTGTTGACGGCTGTGACGTACAGATTCCGCAATGCGCATAGCGTTCGGCTAACTTCGTGCATGACGTCATGACTGAAGCCGCAGGCAATCCGCATGATACATTCGATCTTGAGTCGAATGTTAGGGCGAACGCTATGCGCATTGGGAATCTGTAGCGTCACAGGTCAACCGAAATGGCCGCTCTGAAATATCGCGGCTCGTCAACTTTCACATTTTGTAAGCAGGTTATAATAGTTTAATACAGAGTATTGTGATACATAGTAAAGTCCCCAGGTATACAGAGAAAGGGTTCATGTTTTAGAATAAACCCATGTTTGGAAGTTTTAGTCTCGCAAAACACACACATAAGAACTGTCTCCTGAGTGAATCACTCAGGGGCGTCCTCCAAAGGAAAAGAATAGGCTCACATGTGTAACCTACTCTTGTTGGTTACATTGATTGTATTAGCAAAAACATAACAGAATAGGCAAGAAGGACTCGTTGCGCTTGACTGCAAGATGCGCAGATCGTTTCAGTCATTGTAGTGGCGGCATTAGCAGGCTCTATTGAGTGGCGAGTTCTAGTTTGCAACCACCTTGCACATTTGCCATGTTAGTCCTTGGGCAGGTACGTCTCATTAATAAATTGTTATTAAAAACCGGGTTATAACCACTCTGACAACGTGTAGCGACACAAATTGGCTCGAGTTAATGTCTGAGATTGGTATAGGGTTCCAAATATTGAAATATAGCTGTTGTGGTGAACTAAGGGCCTAGTGCTACTCGGCCTAGACTAAATGCAGTAATGAATGTTTGTATTACTGAATACTGTACTTGGATATAGTCAGGAGTAGAATTTATCATCGGTGCCTGATATTGGTGTGACAGTACACACAGGCTATATATAGAACAGTGGTTGTAGTCCATGCTTTATCCTAAATTCATGCCGTGGCTAAATATAAACTAGCTTCAAACGCCCGTTAATGTTATTGTTAGTAGACATTACGTCAGTTAATTAGCAGTGATTATCTTGATTTGCGATTTCTGTGAAGAGTTTAATGGAATTTGCAATGCTGAAAATCATTGCATTAGAAAACGTAATCTGAATGTTATGTTACGTCTCTTTTACGGTAGGAACGCGTTAAACTCCGAACGAGTGGGCAACAGTGAAGCGACGTTATGACCGCCTCAGCCTACGGCTTATAATTGGTAGTGATAAATCAACTTACCCATTTCTTTCTCAGCTGTTTATGTCCCTAAACCGCCGCGCCAACTTGTTTGAGTAGAAAAGACAAAACAAATTCAGTTAGACACTGCCATCTATTGTTAGGGCTATTGTGGGTATTACCAATATACGCCTATATAATATGTGCGTGGAAAAATCGAGTGTGAGCTTGTTATCATGGCTTTATAGTAGTTAGAATGAATGTGGAATGTCATGTAGAAATAAGCCCAAGATTATAGTTCGATATAATGTAAATATGAAACGTGTATCCGTTAGAAAATCATTAAGTTCGACTCTTGAGTTTCGGTTTACGCAATTTCTCATTCGCGCCGCAAGGCCGGTTGTGCTCACGGTTGCGATTTCCCTCGCCGCGGTGAGAGATACCTGGCTGACGGTCGTAAGATCCCGGTTGTACAAATAGATAAAGATGTTTTGTAATGATTGGTGCGAAATGTTATTCCCAGAAAACCCAAAGGGGCCGTCACCTTGGGTAAAAAGTTTTCAACACGCCATGCAGTATTAGCTGATAAGAACGCCAAAAGTCTTGTATTTGTTACTTTTAGATGATTTAATACCCCTCGTAACGACTTGTTCTGACCCAGTCCACACTGGTTCAACTTGCAACGTTCAGATAGAGATACATGGTCTCAGTTGAGACACTCATGTATATTTTCATGTGCAATATCCAAGAGTACATAATTATATCAATACTAAATCAGGTTAGCCCGGTTATGGGATTACGGGGTTTAGTACGTTGGGGTAGGCACAACTTGGTTTGTCTATGTGGGGTGATCCCATTGTTCTCTAATTCCTTTGGGCCGTCACAGGCTCCAGCAGTCAAGTCCTACAGTTAAGACCGGAATAATTCTGTGCGCATATCAGACCTTTTTTATTGATTTGGTGGAGGGTGTATATATATGGGACATTGAACGGAGTTCCCGATTGAAGATTCTCGTGAGATTGCATGCAAAATGCATGCGCTGAGAATTGCGGCCTCGTAGCGCCGTATTGCGGCGAAAAAAAAAACCTAACGGTTCCCTTCTACATGGCTTTACCTTGGCTACTGATATGTGTATCACATTCACTCAATCGTTATTCACTTCTTAAAAGATTGTTTTTCATAAACACTGCGCTTAGTCACTTTCGCTAAATTACATACGGCGCATTTACAAACAATCGACGCAATTCAGAGCGAGTCTTACAATAGCGCCTGTTTCTTGCTTGTATGCTGTGGCGGGCTGCAGGAGGCCTGATAGACTCGCTGTGATTGGTCTGAATTGTTTTGTAAATGGTCGATGTAATTTTAGGAAAGTTGTAACGAAGCGGTGTTTTTATGAAACCACTATCTTTAAGAAGTGAATAACGATTGAAGTGACATGTATACACATGCTAGTAGCAAGGTAAAGCGATGTACGAAAGGGTAAGCGGTAGGTTTTTTTTCGCGCAATAGCGGCCGGTACGGGCCGCATTCTCAGGCCGGCCATGCATTTTGCATGCGATCTCACGAAAATTTCAATGACTCCGTTCTGCTCCCCCAATATAACTTCACTATAAATATTCAGAACTTATTCGGTCTAAGTCCGCACAGTAAAAACCGACCCAGC